GGATTAATAGCACCGGCTACGGAGGTGTCCGTGATCGCGCTGATTACCCTCTTCAGCTCCACCCCACCGTAAGCCCTGCAACACACCTGCACAAAGGCCCTGGGGCCGTCACACTCTTCTATAACAACAGTTGTAGGTTCAGTTCGGTTAGTTAGTATAAAATATCAGCTGTACCGACGCCATTATTACACTGATGTTCCCCGAAAAAAGCGGGCGGAGCCTCTCTGGTGGTTGACTAATCAGAACAGAGTGGCCAAGCTGACCAATCGGAGCACACTAGGCTCACAGGGAGGGGGGGGGCAAGAGCTCCAACGAGTCGTTTAGTGGAGAGAGTGAATACTGCTGAATACACATGCTTGACAGAGATGCTGTATGCGAAAACCATGTGAGTTTGGAAAATTGCACAGTATAAATCTATTTTAGTATACCTCAACAATGTAATTATGATCAGTGGAAATGGCCATGACATGGGCCCTTTAAGGGAAAGGATGTTTTCACTACTCAGTTTGTCAACTATGTTACGGACAAACTTGATGTCATTACAATCATTTGATTAAGTCCTGCACTTCAAGTAAAATCCAATTTGAAAGGCTCTTGAGTCTATTCTACCATATATCCAATGATTTAAAAAAAAAAAAAAATTGTATTAAACGTTTGTTTTTTCATGTGATATGTTCAGCACTGCCATTAAGGATAGGGATATTTTTTATTATAAAACTACCATACAGGTCATTTTGATAGTTTTAAGAGATGTCACGTAAAACTCCAACCTGTGTAGATGTACATTATACTATAAAGGATATCAGAAGCACAATTTCAGATATTTTAAATTTGAAAAAATGAAGTGCAACATAGTTGACAATGAAAGTCAAACATTTGACGCAAATAACATAGTTGACTGGACACATTATTAACCATCAGCACTATGTTTATTTCAAGGCAGAAGTGCAAAATTCAATTGATAATGATGTGTAATGATGTCTACATGTCATACAAATGGTCAACTAGGTTACCTGTCAACTAAGTTACTACAGTTATTACAGTACTGGGTAACTTAGTTGACAGGTAACCTAGTTGACAATTTCCCTATTTTGACCCATCATTTCAATGGTAGGCCTTGCCTGGATGACCACATGTCATTTTCTTGAACAGGTTAACATCACATTTGAACATATCATTTAATTAAAATCATTAAACAATTGTAAACCATAACAATGTACGTAACATTGTTGATGGTCAATTAATATACTCATTGACAATGTGCTATTATACATAAAATATTGTAAAAAATTAGAGGACAATCACCACAGTGTGTTCAAAATGTCTGCCAAAGAGGAACATGGCATCATGTGATGCTGGTGACATGATATTGGGACAAACCATTTTTGAGTTAAAGGGGGGAGTTCAGTTGTATTAACATAGTTGACAGAACTTTTGCGGACATTCATATATTTTAATTATTTAAAGGAGGAAATCAATTAAAAAAATATTATTATTCTTTAGTATTTAGACTTTTGAAATAAATGAATAATGGTTTTTATTCATTATTTTGAAACCAAGACACCCTCAACTGAAAAACGGACAGAGAAAATCTGTCAATTTAAGAACATCATGACACATTTCAAGCTAAATGAAGCATAGGATGCACATAATGTTTGTGTGATATTATAACATGCTTTCCAATAATAGGCAAAATATGATATTTTTGAAAAAATAGTTAGAATAATTATAATTATCATCAATGGACATCAATGGACATGGAATATACCCTAAATTGTAGAATCACTCGGTTATCTAGCCTGCTAAGAAGTGAACCAGCGTCGTAGGACCGGAAATCCAGGAAGTTAGCTCGCTAAGCGGAAATCCGGCTTCGTAGTACAGGCCTCTGGCCTCAGGCCTCTGCTCCGGAGCAGGTTAGCCGCTCAGCATAAGTTACCATGGAGATCTAGCACGCTAAAAAGAGAACCAGCGTCGTAGGACCGGAAACCCTGAGTTTTCCCTGAAGTTAGCCTGCTAAGCGAAAATCTGGCTTCGTAGTACAGGCCTCTGGTGCCTTTCCTACTGCTATCCTCTTAACCGCCTCATCTAATTCTGTCATTCTAATCTCAGCTTCACATATTTCTCTAAAAGCTAAGTCTATTTTGGGAATATGTGACCCGATACTTTCCAGAAACATATCCAAATCAATAGTAGAATATTCAGAGGAATAAAGATTTTAGTAGAAGTTATACATTTCTTCAGATATCATTCTATAATCTGCACATTCAATATCATTGATCATTAATGTGCTAATCATTTTTTTCTCCTGTCTCCTTTTTTCTAATCCACTGAAGATGTATTTTTCTCCCCTTCCTCTACCCATTTAGCTCGGGATCTTACATAAGCACCTTGAGCTTTTTTTGATGTATAAATCATCTAGTTTAGTCTGTAGGCCAATGAAATTACTTTTATCATCATCGGACATTATAGTCTTGCTGCAACAATTACTTATTTCCTGCACCAATTGGATCTCATACTGCTTTTGTTGTATACTTTTGGATTTACTATGTTGTATTGAAAAACTCCCTCACCTTGAATTTAAAATACTCCCATCTACTGCTAGAACTTTATACTCCTGTCCTCTTTTATTGTCTGTATAAGGTCTCTAACCATTTTGATAAACTCCTCATCTTTTAAAAGATCTGCATTACATTTCCAAGAATCCTTTTTAAATGTAGTCCTATTTTCTGGGTTTAATGTAATATTTATTACACAGTGATCTGTCAAAGGGGCACTAATAGACACGTTTGAGACATATTTGAAAATGTCAGAGGTTCCTAACCATACATCTATTCTAGATTTGCAACTACCATTTGGTTTGATCCATGAAAATTGGTTGACATTTGGATTCCTGTCCCTCCAAATATCTATTAGGCTGTTGGAGTTTAAAAAATCATGTAAAATAGTGTTCCATTGATTAGTACTATATTTAGAAGGACATCTGTCTTGCCATTCATCAGGTGTCAGATTTAGATCCCCTCCCATCAAAACAAGTATGATATCTTTCCTTATATTCAGAGAGCACCTCTGTTACTTCAGATAACATCAATTTGTTTTTGTTATTATTATTAAAGCCATAGACATTTAGTAGAATAAAAAAGGCGCCTTCAACATTTAACACCACAACAAGCCAATGACCGAACTCATCAGCCTTAAAAGTGACAACCTTCCCGGACATTTGTTAAAACATATGGCTACACCGCCAGAACGATTAGAACCGTGGCTGAACAACATTTTTTCTCCCCATTGGTTCGACCAGAAGGTGGCGTCAGCGTCGCATGAATGAGTCTCTTGTAAAAAAGTGCAGTGGGCTTTTTGTCCCTTACAAAATAAAAATACTGCTTTCCTTTTCACATTGTCCCTAAGACCCCTTGTGTTTAAGATATGAATGATAAACTTGTCTTTAACATAAACAAAATAAAAAAATGCTGTAAGAAATCAGCAGTAACTAAAAAAGTACAATAATACTATTAACGTATTTCTTTTGAGAAGTAGAAAAATAAAGAAGTGGGTATTCCTCGAACATCTGAACAATATTCATTTCCCCTGAAATGTTGTGTTTAAATATGCAGATTAGCTTTATATAGATGAATTCAGGGTAGTAAAATGAACACCATTTATATGTGTTTTTTTGAAGTTTTCTTACCATTAGAACGAAAGAAAACATGGAAGCAAAATAGACCAAAATAACAAAATTACTAAATACTAAATAAGACCATTGTGTCTGTAACTGATTATTTTGTAGAATTCTGTTAAGTATTAAACAATTGCGTTAGTGTGAGGGTATTAAAAATAAATTGGCAGTAAGTCAGAGATGTGCAACTATATTTAACTTTTTGTTTTAAAACATCTTTTTATAAATGATTATGGGAAGTGCCCTTTTTCTCACTTGAACTCCTGCCCCCCAAAATATCTGTGCATGTCCCTGCTGAACAGTCTGGTGGGTCATGGGCCAGGTCATTTGATTTTGTGTTCCCATAACAACATGTCCAATATGTCCATGTGCCAGACTAACACGTGTGACCGAACTAGCTACATTTCAAAAGCTTTTTTGTTTGTTGCTAAAGGTAAAATTCAAGCCATTTAAGAATTACAATGCTTACATAACATGTCCTTTATTACATTTAACCTGTTGTCGAAACATTTCTTGATCAAATTGATATGAAACAAATGAGATAAATATCGCTGTGACACTGGTGTCACATCGGGACTTTAACCCTAAACTTTCACAGTGAACCCGGAGGGACATATATGCACAATCAGAAATATGATTACGATCTGCTCAATTAATTTAGCTGATTCAATTATATTTAGTTAAAATATTCTTTATTCTTCAATTTAAACAAAAAAATCATCCTCATTAATTAAGTTATAAATAAGAGTTACTTTACCATTAAAGCCCAATGTGACATATATGTCACATTTCAGATATTTGACACTAGGGGGGTTACTTGTCAGAAATGTGTTCTATGTGGTCCATTTAGTCTAAATTGTGTTCCCCTTCATTTTCCCGAAAGTAGAAATGGGTCTGGGTTCTTATGGGTTAAACAAAATACGCACTATTAAAAACATTAGGAATAAGAAGGCAGTTAAAACTAATATGGTATTTAAAGAATATTTAATCTGAAGTATCAAACTGTATTTTCTTTCCTTTATTTTCTTTTTTCTTTATTTACTTTATGTAATGTTGTATTGCTTTGTATGTCTGCCCCAGGACTTTGTTGTAGAATGTATGATGTTCATGTATATATGAATAGATATATATGAATCAGACCCTACAAAGATAACTTTTCACCTTTTTATTTCATTTTAAGACTAGATGACAAAGAGTTCAACGCATAATTTTTTGCGGAAATATAATATAATTATATTTATATACATATATATATAGTTAACTGGAGTCAAAGTTTTCAACAAAAAATCTTTAATATAGGATTGCATAAAACAACATGATAGCGCTGATACAAAAATGACAAAAACACTTACTTGCATAGACCAGGTAATATCGATATTAAAAATGATTAAGAAGGTTCAAAAAAAGGTTTTATAATATATTTTCATTTTTATCCAATTTATTACGCATTTAGACCAAATGTTGTCTAAATGATCAGAATACAATAAATAATGCAAAAGCTAGCATACCGAAAATATTTAGGCAATAGCCTACATTATCACAATTAACTGCGGAGACTCCCATATCCTGATCTGTCCTGTCTTGAACAGTTGCCCTCCGGTTCAAGGAATACCATGAAAACAGATGATATAATAAAAAAGATGTTCTCAATACTTAAAAAAATAAGAAAACAGAGAAGAAAGGAGAAGAGAGAGAGAAAAGCAATATTACGTTTATATAAGGGCTTGAAGCAATGAATCAAACATTATTCCTTCATTGCCTCATGTGTGGATCATTTGTATAGTTTCAGTATTTGCTCCTTCATGTCATGGACAGCCTTATACGTTAGTATTAAGAGTTATTTGCTCATTTCTCTCCTTGTCCCCTGACTGTGTGTCACTGTGAGTTCCAGGACCGTCCTCCTGGAAGGCAGTCTCCAGTACAGCCAGGATGGGTTTACAGATCCTATCTTTAAAATCTTGGCCCATGAACACATACAGGAGTGGGTTCAGGCAACTGTTGAGAAAGGCCAGGTTGGTTGCTATAGGAGCTCCAATGGTGTAGACGTGGTGTAATATTTCACTTGAATGAATAGCCATGTGATTTACCAACTCAATTAAACCAATGATGTGATAAGGAGCCCAACACAGGAAAAAAGTGGTTATAACTGCAGCTATGATCTTAAAGGGGCGACTGGACTTGCTGGCCAGGGTGCGGTTTCTTCTGAGACGATGGATTATCACAGCATAGCAGGAGACAATGACAGTGAAGGGGACAACGAATCCCAGGAGGAAGCGGGTGAGGGTCATGGCCTGATGACGTAACAGACGCAGCTGTTTCACAGATTCTGTTACATCATCAGGGAGAGCAAACTTGTAGTAGCAGATCATTATGTTATTATCGACACGTGATGGCCCAGTGTCCCTAAAGACGAAGTATGGAGCGCTGAGAATCAGAGCCAGTACCCAAACACCGAGACTCACACAGGATGCCTTGCGTACACTTCGGTGGTTCTGGGCCCAGACGGGCCACACCACAGACACACATCTGTCCACACTGATCACCATCAGGATGTAGACACTGGCAAAGATGTTTAGTAAGTTCATAGTGATAGAAAGTTTACACATGAACTTGCCGAAAGGCCAGTGGTAATTCAAAGCCATATTCACCACAGTCAAGGGCAAAAATACTGTGAAGAGGAAGTCGGCTATGGCAAGGTTGAGGAACCACACTGTGTTAACTGTTTTCTTCATCTTGAATCCGGTCACCCAGATAACCACTCCATTCCCGAGCACACCGAGAACAAAGGTCAGGCAGTAAATTACAAGGGACATGGTGTTGAGAGACTTTGTCAGATCAGCATACTCATTGGTAAACACAGAGCCATTATTTTCAGACATGTCTGTATTGTAGCTGTTATAGGAAGGGGTAGCGGCCATCTCTGTCACTGTCTGAAGATCTGCAATGGCAACATGAAGAAACAATATGACATTTTTTTTGTGTTTTTCCCTGAAATTGATTTCGATAACCTCTAATGATAAAATCATGCAAAAATATATCATATCAGACCAAAAGCAATAGCAAGTAGTTAACATTGAGAGACCTGGTGTGAAGAGAAGAAGACAAAAAAACAGCCTGGTATAGCAACAATTAAAAAAAAGTTTTTTGTTCTAAATGTCCTACAATTTGTGATGCAGAAAAATTAACTTTTCTTTCATTCCAATGTTTATATTCATCTTACAATTAATACCATGTAACAAAGTTATCTAAAAGGACCCTTAATTCTGCAGAGATGTAACTTAAACTACGCTGTTGCCCATAAAGTTTGAATAAAATATTTGTACCACTTCTCATTAAATGATTGTGTTTGTAAATAGGAATAAAAAAAGAAAAGGGTCTGAATACACAATTATTACAACTTTATGGGCAACAGTGTATGTATTTTCATATGTCAGTTCAATCCCAAGTGATTACTTCACATAAACATCATTATACATCATGCGTTATTTCATGCATTAAAACTATCATAAGTCATATGAATTGGTTATGTGCATGTATTTTTTAAGTATGTGCTGTGTAGGTTTTAAGAGTATGTAAGTAGGTTTTTAATCGTTATCTTCAGTCTAGTTGGAACAAAAGTTATGAAAAATGCTTTTTTACTTTCTGTGCGAGTTAGACAGGTCAAGCTGATTATCAGTCTGCCTGGAAATGCATACATTCCCTTCAAACACCACATTTCCTGCATATAAGAACAATTATTTCAAATGCACTTAACTAAGCAAACTGTGAGCATATTGTATTATACACGCTTAAATGATTTGGGACAGCAGCCAAAGTATTTTCTATAAAAACATCTTTGTCCACTCAGAAAAGCAACAAACAAACAAACTCTCTAGGAGGACTAAATATAGCTTGATTAAATCCCTTCTTATAAAATGCCAAGTAAAAGATTTGTTTGTTTGTTTTCTTCTAATCTACCACAAAGTTAAATGATAATGTATAACAACAGTACCTTGTGAGTCGGATGATGTGTCAGCAGCAGCACAAGTGACCCTGGTCAAAATCTGAAACCCTGTAAGGGCAAATGAGGGTCATGGCCTGATGACGAAAATGACGCAGCTGATTCACAGATTCTGTTACATAGTCATCAGAAAGAGCATAGTTGTTGAAGCAATTGATGATATCATAGTTGTTATATGATGGCGCAGTGTCCCTAAACACAAAGTATGGAGTGCTGAGAATCAGAGCCAGTACCCAAACACCCAGACTCACACAAGATGCCTTGCGTACACTTCGGTGGTTCTGGGCCCAGACGGGCCACACCACAGACACACATCTGTCCACACTGATCACCATCAGGATGTAGACACTGGCAAACATGTTCAGAAAGCTTATAGTGCTGTTCAGCTTGCACATGAACTTGCCAAAAGGCCAGTGAAAATTCATAGCTGTGTACACAACACTCAGAGGCAGGAACGCTGTGAAGAGGAAGTCGGCCACAGCGAGGTTGAGGAACCACACTGTGTTAACTGTTTTCTTCATCTTGAATCCGGTCACCCAGATAACCACTCCATTCCCGAGCACACCGAGAACAAAGGCCAGGCAGTAAACAATGAGAGACATGATGTTGAGAGACTGTCTCAGCTCAGCATGCTCTTCCTTGAAATCAAACTCATCCTCATCTTCATAATAAGAGCCATTTCTACCATTGTCATCAGTTGAATTGATGAGATAGAAAGGAGTAGCTGTCATTAGATCCATCATTGTCTTAAGACCTGCAAAAAAAGAAAACAAAGCAAACAAATTAAACCTTTAAGTATTTTATCTAGATGGGAACAAAAGTCCCTAATAATACTTAGGCGTAATGTATTCATAAATAATGTTCACAAAAAGGCCAATAGAAAATGCTATTCACATGGACATGACCATGTCCAGGCAGTAAATTACAAGGGACATGATGATGAGAGACTCTCTCAGCTTGTTGATATACGAAGGGCCATTTGTTCCAGATACTGTATATCTTTTGTATTTATGTGATAGGGAGGTGCAGTAGTAACTTTCCCCACGGTGTCTTGAGACCTGGAATGGCTGCTTACAAAAACCAACCTTTCTTTAATACACTGAACCCATTCTATTTTTGTATCATTCCCAGATTATTTATCCTGTTCTGATGGAAGAGGATAAGATGGTTCTGGACTTAAATGTCAGTTTCTATATACATATATATATATACATACAATTATACATTTAATTGTAACTTGGCCTTTTATTAGGCCTATTAAAATCTTAATTCATCAAAGTAGCAAAAAAACTCTTTTTGAAAATATTTGTACCATTATTTAAGCCTTTGGTAAATATGGACTAACTTCATAAGGTGTTAGTCAAGGTATTGGTAAGCCTTTATCAGGTAATTATAAAAGAAAACATAAAACAACAGTAACTTTCTCTAATACCCCTTTCACACCAACGGTGTTTCAGGGCCGGTTCGGTGCTGGTGCTTGAAAAGCACCGGGTTTTCCTGTTCACACCGCAGCGGAGCAGCGTCATAGCTCCGGAATCCGGTTCGTTTCGAGCACCAAAAAGTTGTCCGTCTAGAAGCAAGAACCGCATACGTCACGCTTACGTCGGAGGGGGGCGAGATTAACCTGAGCTAACACTTAAGGCGAGTACGGCAAATAAAAGTTGTAACAAGCAGTAGTGCTGAGCAAAGTGACTAGAACGCAACCACACACTTGTTAAAAAAAACACACTTTATAAAGTCAGGCAACACTAACCAGGCTTCGTGTGATTCTGTTTATTTGTACCTTACTTTGACCATCCGTTCGCTGTTATTGATCATTGTGGAGAGCAGGCAGACGTTTTGTTTGTTATTATAGCAGCTATCGGATGGAATCAATACATGGGCTGCACAGGTTGTCATGTCCGACTATCACAAGTAGAATCATAATGAAAAATACGTCGGTAAAAAGTGCCTGTAGAAAACTGCTTAGCAAGTAGTCAGTTTAGCTTCGGTTGCTATGCTAACATCACCCATGTTATACCAGAGAAACTTTCATAACAGCGTTGTGATGCCAAACAGCGTCAATTCAGACTGACACCAAACAGCGTCAATTCAGACTGACACACATTCACTTAAGGGGAACTGGGGATATGTATCAGCTGCTTGTGTGACAGTCAGACAGTGAATACTTTAGAGCCGTGTGAGCTAACTCGGAGCTAACGGGAGAATACACTCGTGGAAGAGCAGCCGGCCAGCACTGCAGCGGTCGGTAAATGCCGCTGAAACACATTAATAAACAATGAACCACGGCACTCTGGAGAAAAGTATAAGGTTGGAGAAGTCGTTATTTAATTTAATCTGGCTTCGTATGATTAAAAGCAACGCAGTCCCCGGCCCATTGTTATTGTGAGGTGAGCTCCGGCGTTGGGGAGAAACTCAGCGACGTAAACTGTGACGTCATGACGCAGCAGCGGCAGCACCAGTCGGGCTCTGAGCGGTGTGAAAAGAGCCGGCGCTAAACCGAAGAACCGGTTCTGAACCAGAAAAGCTCTAGCACGGAGCTTGAACCGGAGTTGCGTTGGTGTGAAAGGGGCAAAAGTTCATCAGTTGAATAAGGAATGATGAGGACGCTGGCAGATTTATGAAAGCCGAATGCCCCTGATAAGACTCATGATATATATCACGTCACATTGAGGTGTGATCACATAGCAAGCAAATATGAATTAAAACATTTATAGAAACTCATGACTAATTCCAGCAGAAATGCAAGTCCACTTTTTTGATATTACTATATATATATTACTTTATAATCATCAGCCTCACAAAGATCTCTAATTATTTCTTGAGTGAAAAAAGTTGTGAGGCATCAACTAGTTGGACATATTCAAAACCAGAATATCAAATATTACTCAAGTAAAAGGCACGGAGGAAGTCTACATTTCACAATTATAGGTTATCTTATTTCCTGTTAGCTTCTTCTGTGAAAGTCAGACTTCCTGTGGAAAGTTAAATAACATATGACATGTAAATTAGTTTGGAAACTACTTGTCAGTTTGCCAAAGCACAAAACTCTTCCCAAAACACTACATGCAGTACTTTTTTAACAGTAAAGCAAATACAATAAATACACAACAGTATTGGCCTTGGCTGTTATGTTCCCACTATTAACTCAAATCTTCTAAAGGTCTATTCTTTTTAATTCAAACAGAGGAGTGAGACCTGACGTAAGATAATATAATTAACTGATATTTGATTATAATCAATATAAGTATGAGGGGAATTTTACAAGTCTGTGTTATCTAGTTTCCTTCCTGTAAACGTATTTTTCGAAACTCAAATTTCCTGTGGAAAGTTAAAAACATCCAACATGCAACTGGCATATTCAGTTTAGAAACTTATTTAAAGTTTGACCATGCACAACACTTTTCCCCAAACACTACTGATAATGCTTTTTTGACAGTAAAACAAATACAAAATAAACAGCAACATGGCCTTGGCTGAAACGTTCACACAATTCACTCACAGCTTCTAAATGTCTCCTCTTTGTAATTCTACAGGGACAAAAAAATCACACTGTAAATTATTTAGGGAATTTAAATATTGTAATATTATTTTCTCCATATTGCCAAACTATTTATGGATATAAATGACAGAATTGAGATTGGCAACAATATATATAACATACATGTAATAAAAGCTATTAGCAATGATTGACTTGGGTTTGACTTAATTTTAAGACAATCATGACTGACATGAGGTGCCCACTGGACACTGGAGTCGGCCACAGCGAGGTTGAGGAACCAAACTGTGGTAACTGTTTTCTTCATCTTGAATCCGGTCACCCAGATAACCACTCCATTCCCGAGCACACCGAGAACAAAGGTCAGGCAGTAAATTACAAGGGACATGGTGTTGAGAGACTTTGTCAGATCAGCATACTCATTGGTAAACACAGAGCCATTATTTTCACACAAGTCTGTTGTGTTGATGTTATAAGAAGGGGTAGCGGTCATCTCCATTGTTGCATTGAAACCTGCAATAGCGATATGAGAAAACAACATGAAGAAAGGTCTCAAGCAAGTCTTGAAGTGTAACATAATCGATCACAGTAAAATAAAGAACACAAGTCAAGTAGATAAGATTAATCTTAATTTCTGTCTTTTACCAAGGGTGTGCCACAGGGCTCCCTTTTGGGCTCCATTCACCACATATAATGAGATTGTATCTTCTGTGGTGTATAATCCATCTTTACATAAACAATACTGTTTAATACTGTGTTGTTTATCCTGTCTATAATTCATGTATTGCAAGATGCATTATGCTAATCTTTTAATAATAATACATTTGTAGTATATCAAAAATCAATGGGAACGAATGGACTGACCTAAATGATTCAAATTAGAAAACTTTTGGATAAAAGTAAAGTATTTTCAATAGCTCTCTATACCTCTAAACCCAAAATCAATGTTCATGTTCCCTTTCAACAACCTCTTCAGATTAATCTTGTTAAAAAAAATCTCATTTTAATAATTGCTAACATACCTTCCTTGAAGTTCTCCATTTGGTTGAGGATTAATCTGTAGCAGAAGTAATAAGGTTGGCAGAATAATATTAGCTAACCTGTGGGTAGGGACACTATTGACCAACTTGAGGCGGAGACACTGGCACAAAATAAAAAAAGAAGAAATCTCCTAAAGTCTATTAAATCTTTTGTGTACGGTCACATTTAAACTCTGTAATTACATTTCAGCACTGTAATTACATTTTCTCCTCATTTTCTAAAACAACACATTGGCTTTATTGATATGATTTATACAGTGCAAAAGAAGTGAAGAATGCTACATGTTACTGTTTTTAGTGCACATACTGTATACATTTGTCAGTCAAATCAACAACACGTAGGTTAGATATTCTAATGCCCCCTCCCTTTACCCTGCGCAAGAAAGTCGGAGCATCATCTTTTAATAATTTAGTTTCCCAACAGTTTTATAAAGTAGCAGTTTACTCCCTGCTTTACAATTTCAACTAGAAGCTGGAGACATGTACTGTGCTGCCTCTGTACGTCTGTCCGTGCAAGCCAAAAGAGAACTGAAATCAGACTGTTTCTTTCTCTGTCATGTTGTTTTGATAAATATTAGTATAAGGGAAGTTCAGCCACTCTAGTTTCATCCTGTTTTATAATCTCAAGCTCATTTCCTTTAATATTTTGAAAGACATCGTGACACTGCAGTTGGTCTTTACTCACAAGTGCTTCCTCATATAGGCAACATTTGAAGAAGCACACATCGCTTCCAAAGTAAGTGTTGGCAACACTTTCAACTACTACCACTGCTATACTAATACTACTACTACTACTACCAGTGCTATACTACTACTACTACTACTACTACTACTACTACTACTACTACTACTACTACTACTACTACTACTACTACTACTACTACTACTACTACTACCACTGCTATACTAATATTACTACTACTACTACTACTACTACTACTACTACTACTACTACCACTGCTATACTAATACTACTACTAATACTACTACTACTACTACTACTACTACTACTACTAATAATACTACTACTACTACTACTACCACTGCTATACTAATATTACTACTACTACTACTACTACTACTACTACTACTACTACTACTACTACTACTACTACTACTACAAGTACTATTATAAATTACATAAATAGCACCATACCATAAAACATACTTTTGAATTTTCCTTCATTCCTAATGTTTAACTTTCATTTGAAGTTGACCCCATCGATGCATGTCAGCTTTTATCAATCCAATTGATAAACTATAACTTAGTAAGTGTACTTTCTGCAGACATTATTGGAGCTGTTTAGTATCTGAACTCACTAGTTTGGACTTTACTTAAACATGTCTACAATTCACAGTATACTACCCTCATTAGCAGCAGAGTATTGGCCAACACTTATCTTTACTTTTAGATAATATTAAACAACAACTTAAAGCTCACAATGACTTACAAAATACTTTGTATAAGGTTTGTATAGTCTTTACATAAGGAATGTATTTATTTATTTATTTATAAATAAGTTATCATAAATACTTTGTCACCTACAAATTCACCATTAACGTTTCATCTGAATTGTAGGACCAAAGGTAGAAGCCATAATTACCGAGTCTGGCACTGAAAGCCTACTCAAAATATTTATACATAATCACAAAAGACTGATGATTTTCCCACTTCCTGACTACTTGACTGAATGGCTTTAATGCTGCAAACAGTGCTACAAATCCTTTAGCACTATTAGAGGTAGGTCTATATCAAAGGCTGCTGATGAATCAAGTGTTGTCTTTTCCCTCTTGAAGTTTTCTGTCCTTGATCTGAGAAGCGCCTGATGTGTGCAACAGCTCCCTCTACTGGCCAAATCTTATAACACCAACAATAAAAACATTTTAAAAACAAGTTCATCCTGTGTTTGGTTTATTTGTATGAACACTTTTTATTTTGTGTGACACCAGATTATGTGGATCGACAAAGGATAAAGAGATAAGAGGCTCACTATTTGATGGAGTTAAGTGGTGATTATGAAATGGAAACAGTCAAGTGGAAATAACATTTTAATAATGAAAATAATGGTAACAACACAAAAGCTGTCTTTATCAGCTTCTATGGACTCTTGGTACATTTGGACATGTCTAAAACTAAATATAAAAAAAAGTTTGATCATTATATTGTATAGAAACTTCATGTTAAATCACATCTGCCACACCATACCAAAGTCATACAAATCATAGAAAATGTTTGCCATTCCCTTATATTTCATCAAAATAGTTAATTGATGTTATCAAACATGCCAAATATTCACTGAGAAGTGTATATTGTACTTTTAGAATCCACGTCCTGTGGATGTGTAGGATCTATAGTTTGATAGATATTACGAAGATGATTTGAGGTCTCGCCAGGAGAACGTGTAACGGCAGCGTCCATGTAAAGTTAGCGTCAACCCTCACGGGGTGAAAACAGTATTTCCGGTCTCGAAGTTTTCATAATAAAACCGTATTCCCCTCACTGTCAAATTATTTTACAGTGATATCTGCCGTACTCATCCACTAAAAAACATCAGTTTATCCTTGTTAATTACACAACATTAATTGGTTTAAATTGTGTACACTGCTTTTGTGTTTTTCCCATAGGTTTTTCCCTTTCGTTTCTGAGAGACACATTTCTTTTTTCAGAGGTTTTGATAAAACATCGAACTACCCATAATCCTCAGCTATCGTTGAAGCTCGGTGATTGGATGTTTTAGCCTCAATGCACGTTGGGATATGGTGTTTATGCAATGTGAAATCCGAAAACATTTAAAAAAAGAAAAGAAAAAAATACTTTATTCCGAGTGTGCTTGCTTTTCTCTTTGAAAGTCATCACATAACGGCATTGTAATACACGGTTCGGCTGCATTAAATATTACATATCTGCCGTAGTTCTTTATTTATTGAGCCCTGATTAGAAGACCTTTGGACAAACTGGAAGAACTGCCACCGAAACTGAATACGTGACGTGGATCATAAATATATCAACAATTAAACAACATCTTCAATTTCTCTTCACACAATACGTCTCCTTGCAGTATCAATAGTAATTCGGTTGACTTTTATATTTGATCCAATTGGTAGATAGGCTATAATTTATACCATAACGGTGCACAGCTGATAGAAAGGGACTTGTAGTTTTTAAAGACATTACTGATTTTCTTTGAATATAAGAATGTAAATACTGAGTTGAGAGAATAGTCAGGGGTTTCGGGTGATGGGAGACACATCTATGGAATCAGAATTTCAATAGCTTACCATTAAATGATGGATATACCTTTCTGTCTATGATGTTTTACAAATCAGATATTAATGTGTAGAACTACAATATGTGAAATAATATAGCAATATCCTGTAAAATTATGTGAAAACATGAATAAAACTACACATCTTCAGATGTTATACATAAGTGTCCTACACTAATAATACAAAGTTATTATGGCATTGTATGCTGTGTGTTATTTGTAACATCTTCAGAAACTACCTTTCCAACTCCTCACCAGTTGAGTACAGGTCTATACAGGTTCATGGTGCAATGCATAAGCTTCAAATCGAGAGACTGAAACTGTATTTTTCTTTACCGTTCTGTTTTAATTTCACAATAAAGTTAATAGTAATATTATGTTTGATATTATTATGTTTTATTAACTAGACCACTGGGTCATGTTTGGTGTTACAAATATCAAAACAATATATGTGTGGATAACAAAATAAATATGTCATAAACTAAACTGGAAATTATACTGGAAAGTATAATTTATTGAGTTAACACCATTGACTGTATATTGGTTAACACTGTAAACTTGACCGTTTTTTAACCCACACCGCCTAGTGGTTAAAGCATGTTATTGCATTTTTTTTGTTGAATATGTTATATTTGATGAACAAATGTAGATATTAAGAGTAGCCTACATTCAAAATAGGGGGAAAGTGGAAGGTCAATGATACAAATATAGAATAGAAAATATCAAGAAGATACTGTAGTGATCTCTACAATAAAACAGCTGGTGGAGGACATCCAAAGATATTAATAGGAGGATGTGCAAAACAGACAAACTAATAAGGCTTTATTTAAACATTAAAGAATACTTTAACGTCTTCTTTTGAATAAGAAAAAAACTTTGGGGTTATCTACAGATAAATATTAAGCCTGACAAAGTACTTAACGTCTAATATATTGCATAGTTTATTTTGGCACTTGACAATCCCCTTCCCTGAATTTTACTCAGGTGTACCTAAAGTCTGATTTAAGGGTTGTTTATATTTCACATCATTAATCAGAATCTGCAAAGTAACTAAAATAAATGTAATGGAGCAAAAATACCAGGTTAACCTCTGAATTGTAGTGGAGTAGAATCACAAAGTAACAATAAATTGCATGTTGTACATGCTGCTGTAACAAAAACATTTCCCAACTTGGGATCAATAAAGTATATCTTATC